GGAAAGAGTAGAATTATATGACCAACCCTCTGAACCACAAGTGATAACTATTTTTGTTGAAAGCAACTTTGATCTATGCAAAAGTGAAATATATCTTGAAATGCCAATGTGACAATGGCAATGGCAACAAAAAGCAAAATGAAAAAAAAAACAACTAAATGCAAAAAAGAAACAAGAAGTTGTGATCACATCTGCTAGGACTTATTGCATTTCCTCATGCCTGCGTGAAGCAGGTCAAGTCTTCCCACTTCCTAAATAAGAATATCAACACTAAAAGAACCTCTTTGTTCTGATAAACAATGTAAAGTACACTCCAGGATTCAAGCCATGGTTTTCCTCTGACTGTGCACCTGTAACCAAATCACTCAGCCTCCTTTGGGTTTCTTTTCTCCTATCTATAAAATGCTGGCATGAGCAACTCCTCTCCCTAACTGACAAGTTTCCAATTTCTATCAAATGTTTTGTGCACCTGGAGTGAATACTCTATAAATAACAGACATGATGACCCTCACTATAGCTAACATTTTAATAACAGCTACTGCTTTTTGAGCACTTACTGAATGTCAGGGACTGTGCCATGCAGAACTGGGCCCAAGCACACAGACTCTCAATTCCAACCAGAGTTGGAATCTCAGCTTCAACACTTATTGGCGATGCGGATGGCAAGATGCCAAAACCCCACTAACTCCCTAGCTCTCATCTGTAAGTGAGGGGCAACAACAGGACTTATCATATAGAAGCATTGGAATAATTAGACGAAATAATACAGGTGCTGCACTTTGTGCCTGGCATACAGAAAGTTCTCAGTGGTAGCAGTCATTATTTTCATCATGCAGGGCATTTGTGAGTGTGATCTCATTCCGTGCCTAGAAAAAAATCTCTAAGTATTGGGGAATATTATCCTAGTTTTACAAAAGATGAAGGTAACTTGGCTGAGGACATAAAGGTAGTGATAGAGACATTGTTCAACCCTGGAGTTGATTTCCAAGTCATAAAGCCTCATAAAATACCCATGGATTCCACATAGGGTAGAGTCTTTGTAAGAATTCACTCATGAAATCTTATCATTTAAATCAACAATGGATGCATAGAGAGGGAAAATGGTGGCCTGTTATATAGATGAAGGGCACAGTTTCTGAAACCAGCATATATAGAGTGAAAAATTGGTTTTGCCACTTAACCTTTGTGTGATCAATGTCACGCAGATAGGTATTTATTAACATTTCAGATTCCTCAGGTGAGGGATAGTATCCACCTTAAGGTTTGTTGCGAGGATTGAAAGTGATAATACACAGAGAACAAAATTTGGAACACTGCCTGGCATATAATAAATACTCAAAATAAATGTCAGGTATTATGATTATTTCTCTAGATCAGACAGCAAAATAGCAGCAAATATAAGACTAAAGCCAATGTCTTTTTACTCCGAAATTGGAGTCCTTTAAACATTGTTTCAATGACATTATTAATAGCCATTTGTGACTATGCACACAGTATGTGCCAGCCTGGGTATTAGGCACCATTGTATGTTTTTTCCACTCTTTTCAATAATTTTTCTCCACTCTTTTCAATAATTCTGTGAGATTGGTATGATCAGTTTGGTTTCATAGATAAGGAAACTGAGGCTCAGAGGCATGAAGGGATGTGCCTAAGGTAAAATGACCAGGAAGCAGGAAGTAGAAGAGACTATATTCAGAGCCAGGTCTGCTGAATTCCATTGCTCTGCTTTTTTCTCTGCATCCTGCCACCTGCACAGCTGAGGAGCTGAGGAGCTGAGGAGGGCACGCTGAAGCTGGGACAGAAGACAAATGGAGATGACTGTTTACTCTCTCTTTCTGGACTGGGTTCAGAGTACCTCCTTGCTGCATCACCTTTTGAGATGTTAATATTCAGATGATGCAACCTTTGGGACCAGGTAGATGCTCAACTCTGGCCTTCACAAGCCTACAGAGCACAATGGCTCTACCCTAGCAGGCATGGATTGTAGCAGGTTCCAGTGGCTGAATGGGAGCTGGTTTCCCTGCGTGGGTGAGCAGGATATTTGTGCTGACAAAAGGGGATGAAGTGCATAGATCCTAGCCTCCAGACTTCTTTGAGATCTGGCTAGAAGATTTGGATCTTCTCACAGACCACCTTGGATCTTCACCAAAGATGAAAACAAAAGTCCATCCTGCAGGGTCATGGCCATGATTTCATGAACAGCCAAACACAAGTTTGGAATCCTGGGGAAATCCTGGTCCCAGAACTGCCTTTTTATTAGCCCAGGAGACTTAGGCAAATCAGTTAAACTCATGAATCTCCGATTTCTCAATTGTGAAATGGGGAGAGAGATCCCAGCCATCCTAAATATAAACACTCTTTTTGTTCTTGCTGAATTGTCTGTGGCCAGAACGACCAGGGTAGAGTCTGAGCCACGGAGAGGTCTGACCTCCAGGCCAAGCCCTGTTGACTGCCTGAGGGATCTTAGACAAGTCCTAGCCTGTCCCAGACCTCAGTATCCAACTACAGAATAAACGGGTATAATAAATCAGCACATCTCAAGTTTTTCAACTAAAGTGCCGCTATGAACAAAAACAAATACCCTTAAGTGCCAAGCTCCTCTGATCTGAGGGCTTGTGGTGTCTACATAACTATGAGTACCATCCTTGTTTTATAAATGACAAAAACAAGACAAAGGGCTCAAACCCTAGTTCAGTGTCAGAGAGAGACCTCAAGTCTGTGCTCCAAGTCTGTGCTTATGACTGTCTTCCTACCTCTAGAGAGAACAGTGTTCTTGGCATGCCCCACCTCTGAGAAGCGGAACACCTTGGGGTTCAGTGTCTCCAAGACATGACTCTGTTCCCTGAGGGGAGGGGAGGGCAGGGACAGGAGAGATCCAGATTATGGAGCCCTGAATGGGGGAAGGAACTTTGGACACATGGTGGTAGCCTTGGGCCACTTTGGCTCATAGGTGGGGAGGGTCTGGAGTGTGCCAGCCTCCACGTTACCTACTCTGCCAGCCAAATCTTGAACTACAGGGAATTGCAGTGACATCTGGACCTTAGTGAGTTATTATTTCGAAGCTAAACTTACTGAGCAAAAGGGAAAGTTGAGGAAAACCTACCATCCTGGGGAGAAAGTCTGATTCAGTGAAACTAATGCTGGGCCTGGAGGCAGGAAGCATTGGAAGTTCATTTATAATTGAGATAATACTATCTAGGTTACTGGGTTACAAGAAGGATACATGTAAGTAAATGTGCTGAAACACAGAAAATGTTTAATGAACATTGCTCAAAACTGAGATTCACTCTCAAATGTTAAAGGAAGAAGAGCATTCACGTCCCTCAGCCTCTTCCTAACATTAGGTGGTGTCCCACACCCCATGAGGAACTCAGCAAGCGCCCTGAGATGGTGCTTACAAATTTGCACCCCAAACTTAGCATGCAGGCACCCACTTGCTTGGTGTGAGGCTGCATCATTTGCTAAATATACATATGGAAAAAGTCTATCACACTCATTCCATGAATAACACAAAGGCCTTGATTTGTTCCTCCACGTGATGAGCATGCGTAAGGTCCAAAATTAACATTGCTGTCTGGATGGGGAGTGTATGTGTTTTTCCAAAAAGAGAAAACTTCTAAGATCTTACTCAACCCTAATCAGAGTGTCTAATGCACAGTGTTCGTCGAAGAGAAATGAGAAAGAGACTAAAACTAAAGGTTTGCTTCATTGTAGAGTCTCAAAAAATACAGCTGATTGTTAATTTGAAGGAAGAAATGAGGGGTGAGAGGTAGCTCTGCTTTGCTGAGTGGCTTTATTCCAATCACTTCACCCCTCTGGGCCATACCCTCCTCATATGTATGCTGGAGATACCATTTCCTAACCTCGGGTTTCTGGCAGAGCCGTACTAAAGAAGAAAAGGAGAAGTAAATGTAAGAGTGGCTTTGAGGAATATAAAGCACCAGAAAGATGTCAAGTTTCTTCCTGAGCCCATTAGACCCTCTGCTTCCTACATACTGGATTTATTTTCTGGTTTTGTTTTTCCATCCACCATGCAATGCCAATAAATATAGCTTTTTAAAGAAAGCATATAATATAAGCCTAGATACTTTTAGACTGCCACTCAAGTGATTCCAGCCCTAGTGACCTTCTGGGTGGAGGCAGCAGACTCAGAGTTCTGTATCATGGGGCCAACAGAGCTGGACAGTCACATCTTCTCTCTGCAACCATGTGGAGGTGATTCGCTGGACCTCATCCATTCTTGTCAAGAGCACAGTAAGATAATTTCCATAAATGTGTCTAGTACAGTGCTTAACAATTGGTAGATACTCAAGAAATTCTTGAATTGAGAGAAAACAGGGTATATAGGACATAGTTCAGGCTTAGTAGCCAGATATGCTTGGATTTGAACACTCAAGAGTAGCTGCATCTTTCACTGGCTATGTGACCTTGGGTAAGTTTCTTTGCCCCTCTGCCACAGTATTAGCAACTATAAAGTGAGAGTTATGCAGGCGCTTCTTTGAACCACTGCAAGGGCTACATCCAGGCCAGCTCCAAGGGTCACCATGCAGTTGTTGTAAGGGTTAAAACACCTGACACCTCAAGGGCACTTTGGAAAAGGCAGCCCGTTCTGGTTTTATTCCAATTTTGCTTGTTCAGTCATTCTTGGAATGGCCAGTTGTATTCTGAAGCACCAAACCTCAGCCCTCAGCAAAGCAGGCCAAGCACGTGACAGATGTTAAACAGCTATTCCCAGAGATGTCGGCCAAAAGGCTGAGGAGTTGGAGACCCTTTATTTTCTTCTCTGAAGCACAATTAGTTTGTCACAGCTGACAGATGATGGATGGGTATGCATCAGTCCAAGTGACACCACGGAATCCATTTAATTTTCTGTTTCTCATTCTAACCTCTTGAGCTTGGGTCTTTCCTTCCATCTGTGGACCATCCCCTGCCCCTCCATCTCTCCACCCATTCCTCCCCAACGCAATCCCCGACCCCGAGCACATCCCCCCATCACTCACCATCACAGAAATGTGGAGGATGTGCATCTGCTCCTCAACAATCTCCGAGGGCTCCTGGAGAGTGGGGGCGGTGGCTTGGGCCAGCTGCCCGGAGCTGCTCATGGAGACGTGGAAGTACAAGGTGCCATTCTCCAGCCACTGCTGTCTCCAGTGCACCAGCGAGATGTCCGCCGCTGTGCCAGACATCTCTGCAAGACAAGACCCGAGGCACTGGGTGAGCTGTAGGCCTGGCCTCGCTGCTCCAGGGAGGAAAAGAGCCCACATAATCAGCTCAGCAGGCATCTTTTTTTTTTTTTTTTTTTTTTTTTGCCAGGATGTCTTTCCTCACATCAAGTCTATGAGCTAGGGATCATCACTTTCATTTATAGGTGGGTCAACTGTGACCAAGATTCACCTAAACTAACAGAATAGTGGAAGTGGGGTTTGCACCCAGATCTGTCTGAGGCCCTTTTTAATACATCGCACGTGATTGGGCAATTCATTCTACTCTGATAGTGGAATGGAACTAAGGATAAAAGTGCTTTCATTCTTTTGTGGCTATGGAACTAGAAGAAGATGAAGGAAAGAAATCCATAAAAGAAGTGGGAGTTGAGAGTATGGATTCTTTAGAAGCTGAGCTGGAAGTACTCATGGCCAAACCTCGGAGCCAGAAAGGCCCAAGAGAGCATCAGCTCAGCTGAGGTAGCTCAGGGTCATCTTGCATGGGAAAGGAGCTTACCAAGAGGTTTGCCCTGAGCATGTCCCTCTTGCTTCCATCAGAGCAGCTCCATTTTTTGGTAAGGTATATACTGCACTCCCAAGCAAAAGAACGTAGGCACAAAAGTTTCTTTGGTTTAAAAATACCGGCATAGCTACTGCCCTATCCCAATGTTTTCATATAGCCGGTGGGGAGTGAGAACTTTCTAGTAAATTGTAAAATTCAATCTCCTGACTTGAAGTTTCTAATTCTTGTCTCTATGCTGGTTTTCCTTCTGTAAATAATTTAAAAATGAGTATCATTTGAATAGTATTTTTGTTCAATGTATCATACCTTTTTATTAGTAAAAAAGGGTCATGGCATAAGGTGCTGAAAGTGTCATTGCAAGGGGATTGTACAATTGTTCCACAGTCCCCTCGACTAAAGGGGTGTGTGCCTGCAAATGTCCTAGAAAGATAAGACCCGTCAATGTATCTCAAGCATGAATACAAGGGAAAGGTGGTGGAGTTCTTGGAGGATTATTAGGTCTGCACTCAAGGGAGATAAATGGGAGACAAATAGCCTTTATAGTGTCCATCAGTAGACAAGTAGCCTTAGTAGTGTTGGAGGCTTAGAACCTCGGCCCCTCCCCCCGAGACAGCTATGACCTTGAGGCAGTATTCCTACAGTCCCCAAAGACCTCAAGTGTGTTCATTCACACACACACACACAAACACACACACACGAGGAGGACTGATGGGCAAGCTGAGTTATAGCCACTTATTCAATCAGCTCTCTCCATGTACCACTGCAGTGCTCATCATATCTGGTGACACGGAATGAAAAAGAATCATCTTGAAAAGAAGAGATGATACCACCAAATCACCTACTCATCACCCAGTTCTACTGAATTATTCTTATATCACCCATGCCCAATAGACTCTCCCTCCTTGAGGTTCACAATCAAAAATCCTTAGGAGAAGAGTGTTTAGCACTTAATAAGAGTTAAAAATATTAGCTATGAATTTTTAAGTTAGGCATTGATTTGTCATCATCATCATCATTGATAGGAACAGGATCTAATTCATCCTTCAGCTGCTCTGAAAAAAATAAAAAACAAAAACCGTGAGCCATCCTTGACAGCTTGCTTTCTCTCCCACTCCTCATTCAGTTCATCAGGAAATCCTTCCAAAGCCATCCAACATTCAACCCTTTCCAGTCCCTCTACATCAGCCACATGGGACAAGGCATTGTGCTCTCCTGCCTGGCTTACTGCAAGGGCTTCTTAACTTGACTCTCTTCTTCCACCCTTGTCCATTCTATTCTCAACCAGAAGTCAGAGGAATCCTGCCAAGCAAAAGTCATCTCACATCACTAAGCCCTCCATTTACAGTCTTTGCATGGCCTCCTACTCATTCCAAGTAAAAGACAAAGTGGTGAGAACATAGTAAGTTATTAGGCCAAGCAAACACATGCTTGGGCTTCCCTTGCAGCTGGAAGAGTTGAACAGGCCTTGAGATAATCACAAAGGTTTGTCAGTGCTTAGAGCACAGGCCCCAAAGGGCCCTGAGAACCCACTGTGGTTCTGGGGAGGGACTGGCTGGGTGATCAATTTGAGCAGTAGGTCTCCTCTTAGCACCTTCTCTTTATCCCAGGCTGGGGTGATCTGCTGCTCCACTGACCCCTTCCCAGCCTCAGCACCTGAGGCCTTGGCAGTAGCTTCCCTGGCAGACAGCCAGCTGGGCCAAGGCAAGGTGAAGACATTATGGTAAATGGTCTGGCTCATTTTTCTCTCAGTGCATCAAAGCCCAAAACCAGAGGTCCAGGGAACCCAGGGCTGAGAGCTGCACTAGAAATAGCAGTGTCTAATTCAGTAGTTCCACGTACAGCTGGCTAGGCAGGTGCTCCATGTGCTGAGTGTCCCTGGAAAGGCACCAGAAGAAAGCCCCAAGGTAGGTTACATCTGGTTGACACAGCCTGCCATAGAGGAAGGTGGCGTGAACAGAGGGGTGCTTGTGGAAATCTGAGCTCCTCACTCCTAGTGTTCTCTCCAGCCTGTCCCTGAAATCCCACTATTAAAGAGGCTTCCCCTTTCCATGTTCAGATGAGAAAGCAGAAGGTCTCAGGAGGTTGGTGACTTAAGTTCACTGGTGAATTTGTACCTAGCTAAAACCAGTGGATTTCCAGTCCGTGCAATTTCTACTATGCCAGTTGCACTTACATCTCCTTTTTCTTCACTAAATTAGCCCATGAACCAAAACTAGATTGAGCTCTTTGTTTGCTACAGCGATGAGTGCACAGTCAGCAGACAGTAAACGTTAAATGATAATAACAGTGTGTGAAACACAGTAAATATTGAATCACAGAGAATAACTCCAGACTTACTTTATTACAAAGAAAAGAAACTGTTGTTGGAGAGGAGAGAGGAGGGGTATGAAATGTTAAAGGGAAAAATGCTTTAGGAGAAGCAGAAGGCCTCGATCATTCATTCACTCATTATTCATTTATTTATGCATTTGTTTATTTATTAAACATACTTGTCAAACACCTACTCCATTCCAGGCAGCTCAGTAGCTCAGAATATGGAGTTAAATGAGATATAGCCTTGCCTTCAGGGAGCTCATAATCATTTAGCAGTGGAAATTCTCCCCAGTCAAATGTCTCCTGGCTCATGTTACTGTCTACACACATGCACACTCTCCATTGACTATGGTCCAGGCAACTGTGTGTTATCGGGACTATCTTCCACCATCACCCCTTCATCACGCACTCCATCCCTGCAGGACTTACAACTGTTTCTCAAACAGGCCAGACTCCCACTTGTCTCAGGGCTTGAGTACTTTCTGCCCAACATTCCTAGCACTCTCCTCCCAGAACCTACGAGCTGGCTTCTTCTCAGTGTTTGTCTCTCAGTTCAAATGATACCTGCTCAGAGAAGCTGTGCCTGTTCACTCTAGCTGAAGTAGTCCTCTTCACACACATCCATCTTTATTATATCCCTTTTACAAAAACTTTCAATAGCGATTATCATGATTAGAAATTCACGCCGGGCATCGTGGCTCATGCCTGTAAACTCAGCACTTTGGGAGACCAAGGCAGGCAGATCAATTGAAGCCAGGCCTTTGAGACCGGCCCAGCCAACATGGCAAAAGCCCATCTCTACTAAAAAAATATAAAAATTAAGCAGGCATGGTGGCATGAGCCTGCAATCCCAGCTACTCAGGGGGCAGAGGCCCAAGAATCGCTTGAACCCGGAAAGTGGAGGTTGCAGGGAGTCAAGATTGCACCACTGCACTCCAGCCTGGGATACAGAGTAAGACCCTGTCTCAAAAATGAAATGAAATGAAATGAAATGAAATGAAATGAAATGGAAGGAAGGAAGGAAGGAAGGAAGGAAGGAAGGAAGGAAGGAAGGAAGGAAGCAAGGAAGGAAGGAAAATCAATTTATGCTTTACACTTCCTTGAACATGTGTTTATTGTCTCTCTCTTCAGGAGAGCAGGGACCTTGTGTGTCTTATTTCCTGCCATCTCTCAAGTACTTTGGAAAGTGCTTGGCACAGAATACATGCTCAGTAAATAATTACTGAATCACTGAATTATATACATATATATGTGTATATATATTTCAAATACTCATGCCCTTTTTCATCCTTAGAATGCTTAATGCATATATATATATTTCAGTGATTTGATATATATATATTTATGCATTTACATATATTTTAGTGACTCAGTAATACACTTATTTGCACACATCCATAATAAAATGGTGGAAGGACTGAAAAATAGAATTCAAAGAGTGTTACATTTCATCAGGAAATTAAAAAAAAAAATAGAAGAAGAGGAAGAACTAAAGATCTATTGAAAACTCCAAGGTGGGAAAAGACTCTCCTAGCTTGCAGCCAAGAACTACTTCCAAAAGGTGGCGGTATGAGCATTGCAGAGGATGAACAGATGGATGTCCCTCAGAGGGGAGGAGAAGAAGGCGTAGACATCAGCTCCTCATCTCAGGGGCATGAAGCTGCATGTGTATGTCGAAGTGGAGCAGAACGTCAGGTGAGAAATGTAGTTCAGGGCCTGCCGCGGTGGCTCACACCTGTAATACCAGCACTTTGGGAGGCCTAGGTGGGCCTAGGTCAGGAGTTTGAGACCAGCCAGGCCCATATGGTAAAATCCCGCCTCTATTAAAAATACAAAAATTAGCTGGGTGTGGCAGCATGCGCCTGTAGTCCCAGCTACTCAGAAGGCTGAGACAGGAGAATCGCTTGAACCCGGGAGGTGGAGGTTGCAGTGAGCTGAGATTGTGCCACTGCATTTCAGCCTGGGTGATAGAGTGAGACTCCATCTCAAAAAAAAAAAAAAGTAATTCAGACACAGAGTTAAGGGCTTTGAATGCTTGGTGATACTGTGTACATTTTATTCAGAACCAGTAGAGTACACTTGGTCAGAAAACCAGTCCTGTGTCCCTTAAAAACAGGTTAATAAAACAGTAACATGGCCAAAACCAGTTCT